ACCCCAGGCCCAAGGTATGGTAAAGAGGAAGCTGTTTATGAGGGTGGGGAAGAAGATGGATGACATTGAATGTCTGGGTTGGGGTTTCCACATGGGTGCACACGATGCCTCAGGGTGCCCAGTGGAGCAAGGGCTGAAAGGGGCAGGTCAGCCATTGGAACGACCCTCCCCATGTGACCACATCTGGAGCATAACTCCCAGCACTCTGAGAATACTACATCCAACTCTGGCCTTCTGAGTTAGGAAGGTATGTTTGCCAAGACGGAAGGGTTGAATGCATTCTGTTTTACAGTCTAGTAGCTTGATTTGTGCATTGAAATCTCAAGATATACGGTATGTAGGCCTCCAGGTGTATTCTTGCCCCGGACCCTGCAAAGGTTAGCGTCAGGCCTCTTCTCAATTACTCATTTTTTCCTGCTTTGAAATATTTCCACGCAACTGTCAGGGGAAAAATAAGCAAATAACTATGTGAACAGAGCTCCCTCCCTCCCAGCCCTCACTGCCCTGGCTCTCTCCTTCTAGACAATGATTGTTTAAATAATGCACTCAGCAGATCATCCCCGAGGGCCTAAGGCTCAAAATACAGTGACGAAGAAGAAACTGTCTCTGCCCAAATGTGTGTACAACCCACAGGCACTTACCACACCTCGGCCCATCTGTGATGGAGGAAAGGCGGCCCCACAGTTCAGAAAATGCACTGCACATGCACACTCTGCGGCGTCTTGCGGCGGCTGTGAGGTGGGGAGCTTGAGGGTCTTGACTGTAGCTTCAGGGTTTCTTCACATCACCAAGGAGGCCCGCATGGACTGGAGGAGCCACGGTTTACACGGTGAGCAGTGACGAATCACACTTGACACAAGTTACCAAGGGAAGATGCACAGTGTGTCTTCCATCCAGTAGCGTGATCCCAGGTATCCGCCTTGTTTCCTGAGATTTTCGAGATGGTAACATTTGTGTATCAAACGACATGGGAGAGCTTAACAAGTATATTATTCATTTTTAATCATTAAGTCGTTAACAGGGAGCAAGACTCCAGCTGAGGCTGCTTAAGTGGCGGGCCCCAGGGAGGCCATCAGCCGTCCAGGGGAGGCTCCAGCAGCTCTTCCCAAAGGAAGTGTGGCACGGGAGAGGGACACAGGAGCCGCAGGTGCCAGCAAGGAGGCCGGACAGGGAGTACTGGAGAGGTGTCACACCGCAGCGGAGGTGCGCGGCGCCCCGCAAGGTCTCAGGAATAGCCGGGGAGGGGACTTGGGGAAGGCCCTGCCTCAAGGCGCAGGCCAGCAGAACGTGGCTCGTCGGTGTTCTTCCGTGTCCAGCAACAGGCACGCGAGCGCGAGCTACACACGCCCTCGCGGCCCAGCCCGCGCTGGGGGGGGGGGGGGGGGGGGGGGGGG